CAGTCACAGATTATGCTATATTGCTAATTTAATCTTGGAATAGCAACAAGAAATTTTATTTTCACTTAAAAAGTATTTAAGCATGTGATGAAAATTTTTTCCACATTTTTGTCAAAAAAAAAAAAACATTGCAGTCTGACTTGGTGCCAACTACTTGATGGTTGGTGAAACATTTTGAGTGCAGTCATTGTGCCCAATATTTTGACAGGAGTATGGTACCATAAAATGGGGTACCATAAAATGGGATAACTTTGACCACTTTTTTTCAAAATTATGCCATTTTTTTACTAGATAAGTTAAACTTAAATTGAAACATGCAAAATACAGGTCTATACTCAAGCTTCACTCACCATAAATTGCTGGCTCCTGCCTCTCATAGTTTTAATGTCATTTCAAAAAAAGTGATGGTCTTTGATACCCCCCACTTTGGGGTTTCTTTGACTGGGTGGTAAAATCAATTTTATTTCTTGGTAAAATAACTCCAGGTTTTGGTGCATTGTAGTAGAATTCTTCTAGTTACTTATGCAAATGACAAATTTTAGGAAAGTGTCCTAGTTTGCAAATTGGTGGCGCTGCCCCCAATGGGCGAAATGTGACCACCTAATGGCAGCCGTGACGGGGTAACATTGAGCGGCTTGGAAATTAAGTTAAAATTACCATATATAAGACTCTGTAGAGTCTGAAACATAAAGAAAAAACATTAATAGATATATCAAATATAAAATATGTTATATAGGTACCTATGGTGATTTTAACTTAATTTCTAAGCCGGTTTATGTTACCCCATCACGGCTGCCATTAGGTGGTCAGAGTTCCCCCATTGGGAGGTGGTGCCCCCATTTGCAAACTATGACACTTTCCTAAAATTTGTCATTTGCATATGTAACTAGAAGAGTTCTACTACAATGCATCAAAACCTGGAGTTATTTTACCAAAAAATAAAAAGATTGGAAGAGGTACTCTGACAGGCTTTAAATAATAGCTCTTTTCCATGGGTCACATTTTTCATTTTTAACCTATTAGATATGCAAACTTTTCAAATCTTTCTATTGTGTTACGTAGCCTCAGGCCTTTAATGGCCATTGACAAAATTTTTCCATGTCAAATAGTTTTTCCATGTCAAATATTTTTTGAGTTTTGGGGGTTTTTGTTAAAAAAATGAAGAGTGGTCAAAGTTACCCCGGGAGTCAAAGTAACTCCATTTTATGGTACTGAAATGTAAAAGCTCAAAATTTTGTGCAATGACACATCCACAAACCTCAAAATTTTTTATCAAACCTAAATGTATGATTTGGTACTGTTTAATTTTCTAACCTACCAAAATGATATTTGAGCCATGATATTTCAGAAAAAAATATAGATTTTTCTATCCTAGTTTTCTGCCAAACATTGATTGAATTGTTTGGCTAACAGTCTTTTTGGTAGAGAAGTATTACAACTCGATTGTTTATTAAACCATAATTTGAGTGACAATAATAAAATGTAAATATCTTTCACTGTTGAAGAGGAATTAGGATATTGAATGTTTTTTTGCAACCTAGTTGTGAAAAAAAAATTTGCATGCAATAATGGTAGACGGTAGCATTTGCTAATTTGATTTTTCAAAAAATTTTGCAGTACAGCAATCCCTTGATTAGCACGGTTTTGAATACCGCGGTTTTGATTAACGCGGAAAAAAATTTTGCAACCTACCCTTAATCTACGCGGTGCCAGTTTTGATTAGCGCGACTTTTTTTTCACAACGCATCATTTTCCCGCCTCTAGCCAGAGGTGTTACGTTCGTAACAAAAGTGGTACTTTTTGCTTATTAGATCTTATGTTGTTACTTTTGTTACAACTTTTGGAAAAATTCGCCAAATGTTGTTACTTTATGAATTTCAGCCAATAATTCTTTAGATAAGGTCCCGTTCTGTAGGCACTCGTGCTGACTACAGAGTCGGTTTGAATGATCGAGTTCGGCAACGTTCGCCGGTAAGTGCACCATGCCGGTGCTCTAGCCCTTTAAGCCCTGGTGTGACGAATTCGTCACACAGAAAATAAAAGCTTCTACTGAGAGTAATTACATTTTTGGAGTCTAGCCACGAGTGTGTCAGTAGAGTCACAAACTTGAACTTGTTCGAACGACGTTCGATGGAGTAGGCGCGCCGCTACTGCCAGTACAACACAAAGACTGCACGTGATCTGAAAAGTAATTCAGATTGTTTTTTCACTTTTGAAACATAATTCAGTGCGTAATGGGCTAGTTACTCGTTAGCCTTCAACTGGTCAAGATCGCTGCCATATCTACTGCTCACTTTTATCAAACTACATAATTTTCCTTTCCTTTGCTATTTTTGAGGATTCATTATAATTATTCCCATATATTCTTAAGTTTGATTAGCGCGGTTTTGCTTAACACGGTAAAACTCGGGGATTTATTAACTGCATTAATCAAGGGATTGCTGTATAGAATTGCAATGTCCAATTTTCAATAAATAATTAATTATCAAACTTCTAGTAGCTAAATTTTAATAAGTACAGCATTCATGACTGCTAATCTTGCTGTAAAGTATCAAATTGGGTGCAATTACCAAATCTCTCATTATGCATATTTGCATGGATGTTGTTTAAACCAAATCAAGTTAAAATATTTTTTGGGGCACATAATATTATACAGTTAACTTTCAGACAATGTAGTAATGACACTAAGCATTTAGTAACAGCATTATTACTTCATTAATGCATCTGTTCTGAAACTTTTTGATGTTGAATGCAACCATAAATGAAAATGCTGTGACTCTGTCTGAATTTAATTTGATCTTTCTCATAAGACCTTTGAGTGCAATTATATTCTAAGTTATCAGAGCATTAGTGTCAGCTTTGAGTCTCCATTTTGATGAAGCATGTGTTCCAGCTAGATCAAAAAAATGTAACAAAATTAATCAGACTACTGCAAAAAATGAATAAACATTCCAAGATTCCATAAAGCATCAAAATTTTCATCAGAAGATCTTGACAATATAGTATTTGGTTGGAATACCTCTTCATAAATATTTCAGGCAATAAAGTGTGAAGGCTGAGCAGTATTGGCCACCAATCTGTTATAATACTGATGACCTGTTTGGCATAAACACATGCGCAGCACAATGAGTTAAAGGTGATGTTGTTATCGACAGGAACCTTAGACAGTGTGGAATGCTAGAGGGGTATTAAATTAACTAAAACACATAACATATTGGACAGGCCATCACACAACCAATCACAGTCTCAATAGGATGACATCAAAATCCCACAACCAATCACTGTCTGTATAGGATGACATCACTATCCTACCAACCAATCACAGTCTGGAGTGGATGATGTTGTTGCCGGCGCTATGGAATGCTTATGTCGGGTTCTTTAGTCTCTGGCAACAATTTAGGTGAATGAAAATTTCCATCTGGATATGGATGTATTGTTAAAGTATGGGCAGTGATTACAGATGCAGTTGCAAATGGAATGAAATGTAACCAGACATTGGGAGCATGAGTGAGGTATTTGAGCTGTAAAAGATAAAACATATAATCAATAAAAGTAAAATCAAATAAAAGAACCTCACTCACAGCAGTTAATCAAAACCAAAAACCCTTAGCATTAACATAACAATCAAGCAGCAAGTGGTAATTTCAGCTCAGAATATAACTGCTCAGCTCAGAAGTGGTAATTCAGCTCAGAATATACTCGAATAACCACCCGGCTACAACATGCAGGAAAGGGAAGTGTAACAGCCCAAAAATGACAAACTTTATGGACTTTCCTAGAATTCCAGCCTGAACTCGGAAGAGAGAACCATTTCTGTTCAAGATATCAATCAATGTAGTGCTTGCTAATCAGTCAATTTCAAAGAGGTCTGCACTTTCACATTTATGCCAATTAAAGGTCAAACTTCAAAGAGGGCCATTTCTCTGATTTAAAGTTTTTTTCTCAACTGTCTGCTGTCGAATGTTTGCTAATAATTCATATCTTCTGATAGGAAATATATAGGTTTGGAAGATTTTGACAATGCTTCTGCCTTTGAATAGCTTTAGAAACGGTGGAGACACTAGATTTACATTTAGATACATACCTATTCATATACTAACCCTCTTAAATTCCATAGTGTCAGCTGCTTTGTGACTTCATCCAGGTTTTCTTAGTTGACATGATCTAGTTGACATGATCTGAAATTTTTGGATGATTTTTTCAAAAAATCGCGTTTGAAAATGATCACTACACATGTAATTTTCTGAAATTACATAAGATAATGCCATTGAAATTGAAAATTGGGCAACAGGCATAGGTTTTGCTTTATTATTAAAAACTACAGCTCAATGGTTCAGTCTGGTCTGTCTTTCAGAAAAGAATTCTGGAGCTGACTATATAAACCAGCATTCATGGCATTACATAGTTTTTGAAGTTGAGTTTTTTTTTAGTTTTTGGTATTTTTACTAACTTTCAGTCAGCTCTGCAACCATTGGTTTGCAACCCTGTTAAATTGCCAATCTTATCAATTAGTTGACTGACATTTTAATTGACCACATATGTATTTGACCACATGTCTTATCACATTGGGCCCAGGTGCTGTGGTTCTTTATTAAGTATCTGGTAGTACTCATTGCAAGTTTGGAAGCAACTGAACTTGAGAAATGCAATCATAACAGAAATGTATCATTTTTATTTCAAGTAATACAATCAATCCAGAAATGTATCATTTTTATTTCAAGTAATACAATAAAGCCAAGTTATTATGGAGTGAAATCATCAATTGTGTTAGGCCCAATAATCATTCTTTGATCAGCTATGAGTTGCTTTATCCTTGATACAGCTTCTACTACACACAAATGTAATGAACACGTACAATAAATAATTATCCCATACATTTTGTGGTTAGGCACATAACTTAAGTTAGAAAAAAATCTGTGTATCATGATTGGAGACGCATTGTATTCATTCTTACTATATATTAATGCAACCAAATTACTTACACGTGTATCACTTTGCAGATAAAGCTTAATCTGGTCATCAGGCTTACCAGGCTATCATTCCAAGATGTCGTCGGCTGAGTCACAGCTGCCCTGGACCGCACCATTTGATGCTCGCTACCCTAACATGAACCAAACCAAGTAAGTTGTCATCTCCTACTTGGCAAAATATAATGGATATCATTAAGCCTTTTAAATTGTTGATGCTATATAGAAAATATAATTTCATCTTGAATCCCAGCATGCCTTTGAGCAGTAAATTTGAATAATTTGAGAAATAGGTTTGCAGTTGATCATAAATGACCTTGTGTGAAGTGTAATGGCTGCTTTAATCTCAAGGTTGTGTAAAAAAATTACAAGTGCAAATTAGGTGAAATAAAACTGCTGGAGCAATACTAAACAAGGAAAAAATTGCTTTTTCCTTTAATTCAACCAGTTACCTAAAAAATTAGAGCAATTTCTCGGTAGTGCAACTGGAATCTAAAGCTGACACAAGTGCAAATAAATACTGCTATCTTATTTCTTATCCTATCATGGCTGACAATCAACAAGCATGTTCCTGAAGTTTTGATAACAATTAATGAGAGTATTTCTGTATTATTGCTGACAATTCATAAGAATATTTCTGTCTTGTTGCTGAAAATTCATAAGAATATTTCTGTCTTGTTGCTGAAAATTCATAAGAATATTTCTGTGTTGTTGCTGACAATTCACAAGAATATTTCTGTGTAGTTGCTGACCATTTATGAGAATATTTCTGTGTTGTTGCTGACAATTCATAAGAATATTTCTGTGTAGTTGCTGACCATTTATGAGAATATTTCTGTGTTGCTGACAATTTATGAGAATATTTCTGTGTTGTTGCTGACAATTCATAAGAATATTTCTGTGTTGTTGCTGACAATTTATGAGAATATTTCTGTGTTGTTGCTGAAAATTCATCAGAATATTTCTGTGTTGTTGCTGACAATTTACGAGAATATTTCTGTGTTGTTGCTGACAATTTACGAGAATATTTCTGTGTTGTTGCTGACAATTTACAAGAATATTTCTGTGTTGTTGCTGACAATTCACGAGAATATTTCTGTGGCATTGCTGAAGAAAAAATCCAATATTGTGACTAGCCTGGTTATAGTTATATAATTCTTACCTAAACCAATAACATTCCAAGGTATTACTGAGACTGATATATACATATGCAGGATTTTCTTTCTAATGTCTACATAAGAGCAGCCACGTGTAAAAATAATTGCCGAGGCATTAACTAGAACATATCTCTGCTATGAGAGCCACAGATACTGTGGAGTTCTCAGGCAGTGCTGAAGCTAGGACTTGTCAATCTTTTTGCAATTTCCAGAACAGAACTAAACGGTTATCTGGCAAAAGTCTCGGAGAATGTCAAGCCAAAAACTAAGCCTTTGTCAGGTATTGCAAGCACAACCTGAAGCACTTTTTTTTATGAGTCGAATCAATGACTTAACTTTTTGTTGTTATTGAAGGCTTAAAACCTAAACCTCTCTTCCCTTATAGTTGGCTCGACCATAAAGGTATTTCCCTGGTGTTGCAGGCACTGCTACAAGTACTGCTGACTTCACTAAAGTATTTCCCTGGTGTTGCAGGCACTGCTACAAGAGCTACATTGACTTCCATCGCTGCCAGAAGCTGCGAGGGGAAGACTACGAGCCATGCCAGTACTTCAAGAAGACCTACACGTCGCTCTGCCCCAATGAGTGGGTCAGCAAGTGGGACACCCAGCGAGCTGAGGGCACATATCCCTGCAAAATATAATTATAATTCCAAACTCTTCTCGTCCGCATCGCTGTATTTATTTTTCTGTATACTGCCATCTGAGAATAACTAGAGACCTTTACTCATTAATTTTTCTGTGTTGTCGGATTTGGAAGGCTGCCGCTCATCTTGATGTCAGTGTTTTCGATGGGCCCATAGCTAAACGGATATATGGCTGTCGAAATTATTACTGGTTCTCTTCCAAATTTTGATGCTCTAAACTAATTAGGAAACGTGGCTTCTCACTGAGCATTAATTGATGAACACAATTGTAATCTGGTACTTTCATCTTATAGAAATTTACCACTTTTTTTCAGCCTCTATATCCCACAGCGCTGTGTAGTTTCTCTGCTCATGTGGTTTGAAAATATGTAAATTTATGGAACGTTGTTTTTTTGTCCTTGATGAGTTGTATTCTCTAAAGCTTCACTGCATGTAACGTGATTATTTTTCGTCTGCGGTCGATTTTAACCTTATACTTCCTATTTACGTGTAAATATGAGGGAAGATGTTTAAATAATATTTCTGATGTAAAGTGCGAAGATATCTAGGATCATTGTAAACACGATTACATTAGTACCCCCATAGTTATCGAATTGCTATCGATTTACAAAAAAATCCAGCTGTGTTCATATCTATGCGTGTATTCGGTACTGTAAACCTGATGACCTGATATTTTATTATTTTTTCTATTTCACATTTTAAGCGCATTTTCTCATTTATGGAAAAAATGCACTATTGTGCTCGCCATGTCCGTCCATCTGTCCGTGACCTCAAGTTATCGTCGACGAGAAAATGCGCTCTCTGTCACTCACTGCAGTGAGTACTGAGTTATATTTTTTTTATCTCTCTTCCAACCACGCATTTCCTACACACACATCAAACCCCTACTGTGGACTTCTCGTGTGCGAAAGTTTGAATTAGTTCCTGAACCTAAATTAACCCAACCTTACAAGTCCTGAACTTGATCGAAATTTAGGACGGGTTTCAATATCCTCATTAAAATCTAACATCCACCTCTATCAAAGTCAACCCTTATTAGATTATTCATATTTTTGACAGGTATGGTTTTAATTAGCTTGGTAATTTACCTAAAATTATTATCTCCTAATCAACATCCTGGAGCCAAAACGGAATGAAAAAAAGTTGTTACAGAATTCGAGAATCGAACCTTTTAAACACCAGTAAGCTCGAGGAGGTGATTATCTAAAGCAGTGGTTCCCAAACTTTTTCAGGCTGGCGCCCTCTTTGGCTCCCTAGTGAATTTCTAGCCCCCCCCACAGACATACGCCTCTTACTTGAAATTTAGTACGCTGCAATTTTAAAAGATAGGGTTAAACACAAATATGCATTTCATAAATAGAACCCCATTTAGTGAACCAATATGTTTTTCAGCTGTTTTAACTGTTGCACTAGAAACCCAGGACGTCGCGGACGAATTTACGGCCGGACTCGTGGCCGGCATCTTACGAATCACGACCAATCTCCAAATTCAATTATCAATAAATAATAAATATCTCCCAAACTAATGAACGCAGCTCAATGAAACTTGGAACACGTTTTCATCATAACCTTACGGTGACGTTTAGCTCGTTATTTTTTTTTAATTTCACCTTCATTCGTGAGTTACGCGTATATTGCGAAACAGGCCGAAATTCGCAGTGGTCAAAGAATTTCTTCCAAACTATTGAATAGATTTGAACGAAATTTTGAATATAAATAAATACAAGACAAATTGGAAGCTTTTATCGACTTGGAAATGTCATATTTTAATGCATTTTTCTGACCGGCATTCCATTAAACTAACCGGCATTATATTCATTTTCTGACCGGCAACGTTTGCTGCTGCCATCAGTCTTGTTCGAGTCAATAATAATAATATAATAATAATAGCGGTTTCAGCGTTATTAGGCCGTAGGCCTGTCGCCGATTCTTAACATCGCAGAACATTCACAGCCTTTTGCGGTCTCGAACTCGCAACTCACTGCTTCAATTCTGCTATGCTTAACCGCCTGGCCTCCTCGCCGATTCTGACCAGAAACTGGCGCACAGAGCTGGGATCGAACCCGCGCCTCTCTGCGCCAATCCTGGGACTCTGAACTGTAACCACTGGGCGACCCTGTTGGTGGCCCAGTTCCGACATCAACATGTTCATTCGTACAAAGCTAACACTGTGAGATCAGTGGCTTTGAAAAAAGTGGAATTCGTCTTGAAGTTGACACATTGAAAGCTGAGTATAGTTTGCGAATATCTGAGTTTGGGCAATTTCTACCCTACAGCAAAAACGTTTGCAAACGTTTATCTTAGAGTCGACGTGTTTGCTGAGAGCTTATTAGCTAGAACGTATTCTGATTATATAAAATCATTTATTCTGTGATTGAATTTTAGCGATACCTATTTGGCGATAAGTGAAGATAAAAATCTTTTATGTTCATGGACGTTTCAGAACATTCTCTATCGATTTTTTCTGAATTTCCATTATTAAAATTTCGATAAAAATTGATATTAAACTTACTATTAACATTCTTATTGACAGTATTAGAGAAATTATTGTCAAAATTATTATTGAAAGTATTGAAAGTATTAATAAAATTTTTAATATGATTATAATTTAAATTGTTTATTGAAATTAATATTCAAAGTATCATTGCAATTATTAGATAAATTATTATTAAAATTATTTTATAAAATATTAATAAAATTGTCAACAACATTATTATTAACAATATACTTAATAATATTATTGAAATAATTTCAATAATAACTTTGACACTAATTACAGTAATAATTTTAATAATAATTTCACCAATAGTTCTAATGCTAAATACAATAATAATTTTCCCATTAATTTCAAATATTATTTTCAATAATAAATTCAATATGAATTTTAATAATAATTTGAAAAATAGTGAATAAATAAATAATAATATATAATAATGATAACATCTCATATTCCAAAATTCCAGCAAATCCGTTCATTACTGAAGAAATTACGAGTGTCTAGGTTGATTAAAAAAGAATAAGTTTATATATTTTAATTTAAAACTAATCAATGTAAAAATCTAATAATTCCTACCGCAGCGTATCGATAATAACCACTGTTAACTCCGTAGGGTTTAAATAAAGGTTGAATGGTTCGTAAGTTTATTGACACAACCGAGGAGGAAGACTCCGAGATAAAGACTGACGTAATCTGACTTACGTCATGCTATAGTAAACAATAGTAACGCGTAGCTACTGGTTCTACATGAAAATATACAAATGTAATTACACAAATGGCACAACTACTCACATTCCAAAATTCCAACATATCCGTCAGTATTGTAGGAGTTATGAGTGGTACATGCGTTTGAGTCCGCAGGCGAGTTCGCAGGCGCAGATTTTTACATTGATTAGTTTTAAATTAAAACCAATAAACTTGTTTTTTAATCAACCGAGACATTCATAATTTCTTCAATAATGAACGGATTTGCTTGAATTTCGGAATATAGTAGTTATTAGCTACATGATCCTGGACCGTGCCAGGTTCATAAGCTATATTTGAATTACTCGTCTGAATTTTGACGAGGTTTTATATTAATTACATACTTTTTATACTAAATAATTTGGCATGATTCCTACTATAGAGCAATGATTATTGCGACGTTCATATGAATGTATTTATGGAGGGAATAGTCATGTGTAGTTACCTTAATAAATTCCTCCTCACCCCCCTCTCCCCACTCAAACTAATTATGCCCCCCCCCCTCTGTCCCCTCCTCTACTTACGTTAAATAGTTTACTACTTACGTTAAATAGTTTTCTACTCACGTTAAATAGTTTACTGCTCTCGTAGTAAAGTTTCCCTTGCACCTTGGCATCCTATATATTTCTTTTACGCCTCGCCATCCTTCATCATGCGCGCCACGCAAATTTTGCTAATTTCGATTACTGATGTTATTAAATTGGCGCAACTTTATTTATCTTAATCTCGTCTCCTGTTACCTCCCTATCGTATTACTCTCGTATTCATGTTATCTGGATCCTGATATACTCATTGCAGCATGTGCTTTTCTTGCGCTCGGTTTCTATATACATGAATAGCATAAGCTTATGATAATATCATTCTTCTATTTAATAATCACCATCCGTTTTCCCTCTTGTTTAGTTTGTATGGCACGATAACTCATAAGCAAATCATTACATTCAAGTATCCTACATCATGAAATTTTCTTCCGTTTTATGCTTATTTTTAATCTTCAAAAAATAGACTCTTGAAATTGAAATAAACTTTTTATTAATTGGAACCCGCAATCATTGCCGGCCATTTGTTCCCTGCTCATAATCATTATATCGCTGGTGTTATTTTCTCTATTGTAACACTCAAAGAAATGAGTTAGGCTTCGTCCGAATAAGTTAAAATAGAAGAAATAGCTAGAGCATTAGGCTATTCATTCCTTCTTCGTTTTGATGTTTTTTATCGATTCATTTGTGTAGTGTTGGCGCTTTGATGTCTAATGCAAAATTACTTCAGTGATCGATTATTCATTCCTGTTACATTGTGTTATCAGTAAATTACGTAGCTTGCTATATAAAGTAAATTTTCACCGTGTAATAACAATTATTTTCACCTTGTAAATATTAGTAACTGTGATTACGAGACTACTTTTGTTTGATTAAAGAATTTCGTCCTACTTCTACTTTATTTCTTGCGTAACCACCGTTTTTAGCGCATTTTCTCATTTATGGAAAAAATGCCCTATTGTGCTCGTCATGTCCGTCCGTCTGTCTGTCCGTCCGTGACTTCACGTTTTCGTCGACGAGAAAATGCGCGCTCTCTGTCACTCACTGCAGTGAGTGCTGAGTTATATATTTTTTTAATTCTTCAGAACTTACGGGCAGAGCTGGGCAGCGCTACTTGAAAATGTAGCGGCGCTACCGCTACCGCTACATGTAGCGCGCTACTGCCCACCTCTGCTTACGGGTTGGGCAGACGCGGCAGCGAGTTGCTGCTGTTTTACCTCTTCACGCGCGTTGATGAGGAGCCGTATACTGCAATTCATTTGGCATCACAGAGCAATTTCTAGGAGTTGATGAAAATTTTTACCATTTTTCGACTTTTCAATAAGGAAAACCTTGTTCCAGCTATGGTAGCGCGAGGCGGTTAGTTGCTCAGTGGACGTCGGAGTGAGAGGTTGTGTCGTTGCGCGATGTGTTACCTTCTGTGACCACAATTTCAGAAGATATATTGCAGTAGTTCAAAGGTGAGTTTAATACTTTAAATAAATATTTTGGTATTACCGCATACACTTCTCGTGAAATCGAGATTATTTTCGTTATTCTATAAATCGGTGCTATTCGTTTGCCAATTAATGCATTTCATCATATGTGACATCTTGATAT